TTCCGTCAATTTTCTTCTCACTCACCACTGCCGTTTGGGTCTGAACAAATCAAAAAGGCAGAAGCGGTGGTAACGACTTGTGACAGAATGCGATCAAATGCAAAAGCAGCAGAGTGATAGGCTTTTTCGAGCCCAACTGCACGGAAGCAAGTAAGCAACAAAACGCAGCAAATTGCAGGAACCTTTCTGGCAGTGAGGAGACAATTTCATTTGCGGCAAGCATGTGGACGGTTCACAATCTAGAGAAAGTATGCTGCAACTCTGCCCTTTGTTCACATTTTTGTGATCCACATTGGTGTCACTATAGCGGGTCGATGGCTCCTGAGATAATCATTTGCTGTTGCTCACGACCAAGGAAAGAACGTCAAGCAGCTTGACGAGCTAACCGCTTGTGGTGCCCGGCAGGTGCTCATTAGATTGCACAAAATATATCACAGTCGCGTCATCCCGAAATTTGCCCTTTGTGCTCCGGCGTTTTATCGCCACCGATGGGACAGATAGCTAGCATATCATACGCAACGGTTCCTATACGCAAAGGTTCCTGGAGCCGGGAGAATGAGTGTCAAAAGAACGCCACCTGATATCGCACCATATAGATGCGCAGAAGAGCTGGAAGATCAGGCAGCAGCGCGTTTTTGCCGGAAACAATACACAAAATGGTGCTGTCGAGCGTGCTCGGCTGGTCAATCAAATATGATGATTAGCCAAAAAGTAGAACTGCCAGTGAAGCCACACCAGAGCTGCAGTGTACTGAGAATGTTTTGATGCCTCCACTTGCGCACCCGTAGGAGGCACCAGAATGTCAAATTGACTGGTCGGGGAGGAATAATGTTTTCAGGGAAGAAGAGTGAATTCGGGCACTCAGAGACTCAATCAGTTGAGCATTCGTCGTTTGACCTTCGTTGAGGCATGGAACGAACCCATCCCATCGTATTTGTCGTGCACTGATGGGATAGCAACTGCGATAATCTCGACACCTCGTGCGCGACACGTGTACTGGCGACGTCTCGCGTTGCCTTGATCGTTTGTACCGATGAGCTCCTTCGCCGACACACTGTACGTCAAAGTCTTCAAGAGGTCTTTGTCAGCGCTACCTGGCCATCATTGTCCAGCTCACATGATCGGCTAAGAGACCTTGAAATGACCCGGCGAGCTGGACCTCTGGGAGGAGTCTTGCTGTGGGAATCGCTATATTTTAGATCGCTAGGTATAGTCGCTATTCGGCAACCTTGGGCAGAAAAAATGCCTGGTCCTTGCAAAGACTTTTGGCAGCACTTCGTCCTGATATTTTTGAGCTATGACTGCCCGCACAGATTTGTGAATCAAGGCTGACAGACGCGTCTCTGATGATGCTTAGCCACGAGCCAGTCGTGGAGGGCTTCAATCTTTGAGCAAACCTTGACAGTCGCGTGAAATTCGCACAAAGTAGAGGTTGGGTGGCGCGTTTGCGTAAACTGAAAGGCTGAATAGATTGCGGAGTCTCTA